TAGTCCGTGCCAAAAAGATGACTCATTTTCATATTTGGAAATAATTTACTTTTATGCAATGATTTGTAGCAATACATAATATATATGCCTCATTTTACACCACAAATTCAAAAGTCTTCTCTTTTTTCTTAAACTTCGTGTCCAGTCAAATAGGATCACATAAATTGAAACGGAGAGAGTATTTGTTATTCACATTTATAATTATTAATTAATCTTGGACTACACATACATATTTGTATATTTTCTCCATTTGTGCCTTTCTCCATTAAAGCCCTCTCTTTATTTGGCTTTGCGCTTAAAGCCCCAATGGACCTTAGAGTTTTTTGTGCTTTTCGCTTTTGATAACACTGGGAAGCACATAGCAAGCTTCATCAGGGTCAAGGTCTCATGCGCAACGTGATCCTGCACTTTGAAGCTTATCTTGTGCTTCAGCTTGTATTAGAACTAAAACCTATCATTAAACACAAGCCACATTATATTTAAGGGTTATGAGTTTGTTCCTCTTTCCTCTATATTAAAACTGAACCCATAAGATTTGTTTTCTAAACAATTACTATGGTGGTAGTTACTTCTAACTAAGTTGGAAACCAAAAAATTTAGCATCTTCCCTTGGCATCGAAAGATATCAAAGCCAATTAGTTTCATATGGATTATGGAACCCAAGAATTTTGTGCATGCACAGCTCAAAAGATGTCCATTTCCAGCAATATAATTCAAGTCTCCTTTTATACTTTACATAATTTTAGAACAGAAGGCATACTACCCTATTCTAATTATAAACACTTGTCAATTCTTCTCCAACGCAAGTACGTAACAAATAGTCTCATTAGCCCTTTTTACAGTATTATACCTGTATATTAAGACAAGGAAACTCATTTTGCAATAATATCTAGGATCAGTGTTATCAAAGGCAAAAGCGCAAAAAATCTCTAAGGTCCATTTAGTGAAAAGAGGCGCAACTGGAGAAAAAGTAACAATATGTATATATAGTCCAAGACCAATAATTATAAGCATAAATAACAAATATATGGACAAAGAAATTGAAAAAAAAAAATTACGATAAAGTGAAAGATCAATTGTTTAGTGTCGCCTTTTCAGCATCACACTCATTGGCAGGAAAAGTATGCCTTAGAGCCTTGATGTGACACTGAAGCGCCCACAAAGCGAGGCGAAGCGCTCAACATGTTTTGAGCCTCGCTTCAGGGCTTAAGCACGCATTTGACAACACTGTCTAGGATACACAGAAAATATTATAAGGTTGTTTCATCTCAAAGTCCCAGTGGTCTAATTTGCATTTACTTTCTACCATCAAAAACCTGAAGATTAAAGAATAAACTGATGACAGGAGAAAGAATCATGGTTTTCAAAAAAAAAATAGTTGCATGTTTTCTTAATGGGAAAATGCATAATTACCCCCTTACCTATACCCGGATTCCCAACTACATACTTTTTCTTTGCGAGAATCATATTACCCCCCTAAACTTATTTTAAATGGAATTATTTGCACCCTTAACGCTGACGTGTCAGAGTGTTTGTATTTTACTCTCCCAAAGGAGAGTGAGAAGCAAGAAAAAATGATTTTTAAATTATTTTTTATTTTTTTTTACGATTTTTTTCCTCTTCCTTTTCCTTTGTCTTTTTTTTTTTCCTTTTTTTTTCGTTTCCTCTCTAATTCCGGCGGATATTCATTCACCGGCGACTTTGTCTAACCGTTTTTCTTCCATTTTTTCTTTTCACACACAAATTAAACTCTCAGAAAGATCTATTCATAAGAAAACCAAAATACACTCAGATTTGGGGGGGGGGGGGAATTCATCATCGGAAAACCTTCCCACGCCGGAAAAAAAATAATGTATTGAAATTTTAACTGGAAAAAGTTTTCTCAGCTTATATTCGTTTTTATTTCTTTTGCTCTTACTCCCACTCATAAATTCAACTTTCAAGAAAAATTTATATATATATAAAACAAAACACACTTAGATCAGGATAAAAAATTTGTCGCCGGAAAAAAAAATTCGCCGAAAAAATGGTGTTTGTGAAATTCCAACGACCACCATTTTATGCTGCCGGTGACCAAAACAAAAAGAAAGAGAATGAAATAACCCAAAAAATGAGAATAATAAGAAAAAAGGATAAGAAAAAGCAGAAAGAATAAAAAAAGTACTAAAAATACATGTGGGGGCACGTGTAGCTCACCACTTGCCAAGAGTTTGGTTGCCAGCGTAAAGGGTGCAAATAATTCCATTTAAAATAAGTTTAGGGGGGGTAATAGGATTTCCGCAAAGAAAAAGTGTGTAGTTGGGAATTCGGGTATAGGTCAGGGGGTACTTATGCATTTTCCTTTTTCTTAATCAACCCAAAGTTGCGTGGTTTTATGAAAAAGGCCTCTTTAATTAAGGAAAACTACAGAGGAATTACAGGGATATTACATAACAAGAGGAGGGTAATTATCAAATTCCAAAAGCAATAAAAGGGTAACTTCCTTTTCCCCCTTTTCATCAAGCATCAGATGAGTTAAAAATAGAATTATGAAATTTCCCACATCTAATAATAAATATCTTAAACTTTTTTCCACGTATATCACCACTTAATTGATGTTATAGATATACTTTTTTCTCAACTTTTTCCTTGAGAATTGCTCTGGAGCCTTTTCTTTCAAGTAATGCCAATTGATGCAAGGTCAGTAGTAAATAATCTATTGAGAAGAGCAAAGATAAAAGTAGTGGACTGATACCTAATACATTTGCACAAAGAACTAAGGAGATCATCAACTAGCTCCTGCAGTCCTACTTAAGGTTTGGTAGAAATTGAGCATTTAACATATCCAGAGGGACGAGGCACATAAAGCTCAAATAAGCACTTAGAGTATCCCTTTACCCCATCATTCCTTACTTGAACAAACAACAGAGCTTAAAAAAACGATACATGGTCACAATCCAACCAGACCTGTGACAGCCACAACCCTAAACTCAGCCTTTAGTTTTTTTCCTGATGAAATTTCAGCAGTTAGGGTAAATTTAGTATGAGAGCAGCGGGTGCATCTGCACTGCACACTTGCATTTGATTTTAACTATATGAACTGTTGAACAATTTTTAAGACATATATTTTTACTAAGTTAGCGCCCGCTGCTACAACGTCCTCAAGGTGTCTTCTGTTGGTGGTATGCATAAGAAAAAGACATCAACTTTGTACACAACTTCCAGAAAGCAAGAACCCAACTTACCTTGTCATTAACTTCGCAGAACTTCAGTTTCTCAGTAAAAATGGAATCACCATTGCTCACTTTAAACTGGTGAGAACCAATCTACATAACAAAAGACAACAGCTTCAATTCTCCAAAGGTCACAATTAAAGATACTTTATTTATCAGTAAACGTATACAATCTATAGTGTTAAAAAAACTCCTAATATATTAAGTCAATAAAAAATAGCATAGACATTCATATAGTCGACCCAAACTAGTTTGGGATTATAAGGTATACAGGAAACAGCAATTAACCTGAACAATGGCGAAAACGGGTTCATATGGTTTGAAGACCCGGTCCGATTTCTGAAGTGGGCCGATGACCTTATACCCAATTTCAGCTGCCTCGTGTTCTTTCTCCTCTGGAGTGTACTCTCTGCTGGGCTCACTATTCGACTCCAAACCCTCCACGTCCTGATCATCATCATAATCATCATCATCAGTTTCTTCTTCACTTCCCTCCTCGTCATCATCGCTATTGATCGGTCGATTGGAACAGAAATTCCGGTGGAAAGATGAAATTTTAGTGGTAATGTGGGGGCATTTTGGGGAGGACGTGAGTGCGTTAAGGGAATTGAGTAGTTTTGGGGTTAGGATTTGAGGGGAAACGGAAGTAAGGGAATGGAGAGAAGATGGCTCCGGAGATAGAAGATATGTTAAATGACGGGTTAGGGTTTGAACGCATCGGCGATTCGCCATTGTTTGGCTGAGCTTTGACCTTTAGGGGAGTGATGAGTGGGGACTGGTGAAAGTCTAGGGTTTAAGAGTGAGCTGGAAGTTGGGGGTTTCTGTTCTGATTGAACTCGGTAACATGACTCACGGTTCTCTTTTTCTTTTCGTTTTTTTCCCTTTTTTATTTGAAGAGTAGTAATTTTATTTTTATTTTTATTTTTAAATAACAGTGGTGTTTGAGTTTCACATTTTCTGGTTAGCTTGCCCCTGTCATGATTTTCATATTTATCGACCACCAAACCACACGCTCGAATTTGGAGTAACAGTTTTAACTTTTACTTAATAGCTATGTTTAGCTTGATCAAGAAATAATCAACTCACCCCTCTTAATTTGTAACTTTTCATATTATCAAAGTAACTAGCGTGTGTTGAAGAATTATAATGATTTTTGAAAATTCGTGTTACTGTATTTAAGGATATTTTATCAACGACGAGCATGATAAGTGATAAAAGTTTTTGTGTTGCATTCATTTGTTTGATGCAAATATAAATTTTTTTGTGGAATCTTTAGCATGTTGGCTCATTACTTGCAATGTATGATACCGCAATCTCATCTCATCTATAGTTGGAAACTATTGATCAGCATGTTGGTTTTTTTTAAATCTAATTAGATAAGAGGTGTGAATAGGAAATGAAGGGAAAAGATTTGGAGAGAAACGAAAAGTTTGAAGCTATTTCCTTTACTAATGCATTTTGTCCCTCATCGAAAAAATTAAAGAAAATTTTTGTGCTTATATAGAGAAGTATCTCGCGCCGTCGTCACTCGCTCGGCTTCGGTGAACCCTTAGTTACCATAAGCTTGCGATTTATGTCCAGTACTAATGAGGTTATGCCTGGGTATGTTAGCAGATCCACTAACATTTTTATTTTCGTCAAAATTATCAAACGAATAGCATAAACAACATGCACATTCTAACATTTACCAAAACGTGACAACATTAAAATCTATTAGGAGGTATTTGTGAGCTTAACATATAATTCAAATTGCAAAGAGGTTGAAAAGTTTTTTAATTTCAACAACAATGAAATGAAGTATAGGTGTTTTATTTTTCTTCTGAATCAAGTATTTGAGAAGATATGTGATTTGAAGTGTTCTGCAAAAGCATAGTGTTTAATGTTATTGTCACTGAATCTAAACTTTAACTATACACAAGAGATCACCAACAAAATCTTAGCTCCTATACATCATAGAATTGCCTGAAATTTCTCTGTGTTGAGCCTGATCAACTTTGGTTTTCTTCATTTCCCTGCTCGTGTTAGAGCTATCAGGCATTCTTGAACTATGCACATTCTCATCTAAGAGTGAAACAGGAATAAAGGAACATTAGAGTTAAACTTGTAGTGACACAATCTTAAGCTCAAAGGGTAGATTGGCCTTGAAAGTTAAAACAAGGCTCTAAGAAACTACTGGTATAACTGGGATAAACATACCAAAAGAAAATCAAATTAAAAGAAATGAACAACTTGGAATTTGGCTCTGCAGAAATTGAATTTTCCTATTTAGTTTTGGTAGTGTATTATTAGCATGACTGTGTTTTAAGCAAGGAAACATGAGACTTATTAGTAATTGGAAGAAATTCTGAGGTGAAACAATGAGTATGATGGGCCTCTAAAGATGTAGCAGATGAGACAGTAATGTCGTCAACCCACAACGTCCACATATGTCAATTCAATAAGCCTGCATAATACCAAAAAGAAAGGATCTTAGCCCAGTTGATATCTTTCACTGTTATGATAAAACTGTTGTATTTAAACTATATAACCAAATCCCAAAACACAATCAATAGAAAACTATAATAGAAAAAGAAACAAACTAATATATGAATTGTCCAATTCAAACAAACTCAACTGTTTGGAGACACCACAACTCCCTCTACCCTATAACAAACCAGTAACCACTCAGAAGAATACATTATTTTTTATCAGGTAAGATAATCTAGCAACAAATATATAATAACTACTACTATCCCTACTATCCCTCAACCTCACACAAGTTGAGGTCACTATATGGAGCCTCTTTACCATTCTAATCTATTTTGGCCCGTCTCTATTCCAATACTGAACCTTTGCTTAAGGATACTCTTACTCTAGATTTCATAGTCTTATACGGACATACAAGTTGAGCTAGCAATAACTAACTTAGTAAAATAGTGTGTAACAGTTTCTCCAAAATAGAAGACAAAACAAACAAATTCGAATCAAAACTTAAATCAACTGGTCGCTGCACTTGGGAGCACAGATCGGTAGAGTCACCCAACAACTAAAAAACTTACCAATGGACATGGATTCAGGAGGTCTGATAGTACATTTTCCTTTGTTTTTTAACACCAACTGCTAACCAGAGAGGCACCTGTGTTGCTATTGTGGACAGATAATTTGAATATTCAAAACAAAATTAGCACAAAACACTACAAAGCTTATGTAAAATAAATTTAATTAAAGGAGGAAAATAATACATATACAAGATTGAGAGGATCCATTCTCATGTTTGGCATGTATCATCTTTTGAAAAAATTCCAACTGCACAAGCGATAAACAAGAAACTAAAGCTCACCGCTTTGGCATTACTTAAGAGCATGAAACAACACAAAATAAAGTGAAATTACTAAAAGGTGATTTGTATTAAAAATAGAAGCAGATCTTGGATTTTTAAGTTAGTGCATATAGATTACCTGTTGCACCCACTACTCTTTTATCTTTAGTGACAATAGGCATGGATTTGGAAAAATATAGGTGCAACATTTATTTTCACTGAAACTGGTACTTCTATGTAAATCCACAATGGTAAGAGGAAATGAAACAAATTCTAAGAAATATAGAGCACAGATATCCTTTAAAAGCATAAGTCAAATAGAAAATCAGATGAAAATTTCATCAATTTGATTGTGCGAAGAGAAAATGAGAATTTTTTTAAAAAAGCTAAGAATATCAGTGTGGATAGAGAAGTAAAAGAACCTCAGCTGCAGAAAAAGCGAAAGCGTGAGGATCAGATTGGCTATCCATTGCAATTATCTTTTACTTGTATGTGAATCCGGAGTTTTGAGTACTGAAAGTCTCACAGTGACAAATCTACAAGCAACCAAAAGTAAACACAATAAGCAAAATCCAGGATACCTCATATTCCAATAAGTTAATATTCAAGTAATTTCCAAATTAAAAATAGTTCACTATAAAATAAACCAAAAGTGAAAAATAATAAAGTATTCATTGGAATTATTATGTTCTTCTACTATGTAAAATCTCCATAATAGTAATTGATTAAAGATATAGCATTTTAGAAGCTCTAATGTATTATTGATGTCACACGCAAGCACTTCATTTGAGACAACAACATGCATTTTATCTAATCTTGGTAAGGTTCAAAGATAATCACACCAGATAGTAAGGATTTGTTGTACGAAGAAATCCTGCAATTAATATTGTAACACCGAAATACTTTAATCCTTTCAGCTAGATTACTAATAAAAACAAATCATTAACAATGTCATATACATTATCAAAATTACTGTACGAAATAGGAGAAGACATTAGTGGTTAAAAAGCAATTTTATCGTAACAGAGAAAAATAACTTCACAACTGTGAAGCAATAAATGAAAACACATCAGAGAAGGATGTAACTTATAATAGACAGTAAATCCTCCTTCTTCAAGCTATGTATATGTAACACATCCTCACATTTTCAAGAAAACAGACAGAAGAACAAGCAAGAAGACGGCGTACATGCATTGCAACAGGTAAAAACTTTTCCTTTGTGTATTTATCCCGAAAAGAAAGTTTCAAATATTTTATATTCAATGATATTATACAATGTCAGAAGTAGTGCTAAAAGCACAGAAGGTAAGGGAAGTTTGTTGTCTTAATCGTATCCTTTTTAATTTATCAGATAGATTTTTGTATTCGATATAAAATGATCAGCGAAATTGTATAAGTGCACATATTAAGATACGTTAAAATATTATTTGATAGTTTGTTTACAGTTTGTATTGCAAAGTGAACAGTTAAATGATGTTATACATCCATTGTTAATTAAATTATATTACCTAGTCGATCGATAAACCATCCAAAGAGTCAGTGAGTATATATCTTATATTAACATACAATAGATAACTTAGTTTAGAGACCACATATCATCAAGAGAAACTAAAAAAGAAGAAACATGGTGCGCCTCTGTCATGAAGGTAGGAGGCAAGTGTCAAATTCGAAAATCACAAGTACTGCAGTAAGTCACTATTTAGATTTTATTTGTGTTGCGGAATATCGTGGGTTAACTAGCACACAATCTCACACAAAGCAAATAAAGAAGAAAAATCAACACAAGGATTTAACGAGATTCGACTAAGCCTAATTCTCGGGGCAAAAGAAGAGAGAGTTTTTTCACTATGAATGAAAAGAAAAGCACAATACAATCTATATAATCCCCAACTATAACCCCTATATATAGATCCCAAAAGGTCTCAAACATATATTAGAAAGGTTTCTCAATTTGACAAGGACTATAGGTTTTCCTTTCCCAAATCTATTAGGACAATGGGTTTTCCTAAACCTATAGAGATTATGGGTTTCCTAAAAATACAAGAAAATAATTCAAGCCACAAATAACAAATCTTCCCCTTGGCTTGAATTCTCTTCATCAACAGGAACAACGTCTCTCTACATTGCCCTCATCCCTCGCAAGGGCTCTATTGAGTACTGCACACACCAATCAAGTCTAGGCAATGCCTAAACTTGTTAAGAGACTCAACCTCTTTAGCCATAGCACTAATCCATCGATTTGGTTATGTACTCTAAATAGCTTCTGAGTAGCTATAACACTCAAATGCATCAACGGTCTCTGCAACTGCCAAAGCAAATCCCACTGGATTCGTATATCCAAGGAGATTCCCATCAACTACATTTGCAAACCTTTGCGGTCGGTTGATCATTCTCTTCTCTCTGCCTATTGCAATGCTATAGAGTTGTTGCGCAGGTGCATCAACATTATCTTCTTGATCAATATTTTGCACCTCCTCCACTTCCTTTACTTTAGAACTACTGGGCTGAGCTAGTGGAGATTCAATTTCTAGCTCTATGCGGTCACTGACACCATGATCTGTTTCTGCTATTGCCTTATCCCTCTGACTGTCCAGTGAGGCAGATTCATTGAATATTGCATCCCTACTGATAATTAACCCTGGAGTCTTTTGATCTGTGTACCACAACCTATAACCTTTCACTCCAGTTGCATACCCTAGAAATATGCACTTCTTTGCCCTCGGCTCAAGTTTTCCATCCCTCACATGAGCATAAGCAGGACAACCAAATATCCTTAAATTTGAATAATCAGCAGGCGAACCGGACCATACCTCAAAAGGAGTTTTGAACTCAGTAGCTGTGGATGAAAATCTATTGACCAAATAACAAGCTGTATTGATTGCTTCAACCCAAAAATCTTTGCTAACACATGAGTGTGAAAGCATGCTTCGTGCCCTATCACAAAGCGTTCTATTCATACGTTCTGCAATACCATTTTGTTGTGGTGTTCCGACACAAGTGCAGTGTCTCACTATGCCCTCCCTGCTGCAAAAATTATCGAACTCAGAATTGCAAAATTCCAACCCATTGTCAGTTCGAAGACGCTTAACTTTTCTTTCCGTTTGTCTCTCAACCATCGTCTTCCATTTAAAAATGTCGAAAATGCTTCATCTTTTGTTTTCAGAAAATACACTCACACCATCCTTGAGTAATCATCAATCAAAGTCATAAAATACCTGGCACCACTCTTGGAGGGAACTCTGTTTGGACCCCACAAGTCAGAGTGTATATAATCTAACTTGTCTCTGGTCTTGTGCTCGGCCTTGTTGATGAACTTTACCCTTGTCTGTTTACCAAAGACACAATGCTCAGAAAAATTCAAAACTTGATTTTTGTACCCATCTAGCAAATTCTGCTTACTCAACAAAGACAATCCATTATCACTCCTATGGCCAAGTCGCAAGTGCCACAACTGAGACTGATTCAGATCACTTTTCCCAGAAGCTACAGCAGCTTCCCCTTCAACTATACTAGACCGAAGATGATATAATTTAGAATGTAGTTTACCCTTCATGAGTGCCATGGAGCCTTTACACACTTTAAGTATTCCATTCTCGGAGTGAAATTTGTACCCTTGATCATCCAAAGTCGAAAGAGAAATCAAATATTTCTTTATCCGAGGAACATGCCAACACTTAATGTTTCTGATAATTCCGTCGAACATTCTTAATTTGATGTTACCAACCCCCTCTATTGGTAATGGATTATCATCTCCCATATAGACAGTCCCACTCATTTGTTTGTAAGTTGCAAACCAATTCCTGTGTGGACACATGTGGAAAGCAAATTTTGCCCATGACTAGAACTCACAACACAAACTTCCCCTACATAATCACTATCATCAAAATTATTGCCAGTGTCAATAATATTTGTCGAATTATCTATTTTCTGCTTCCCTCTTTTCTCCTTCTGCTTAGGACAATCTCTCTTGTAGTGACCTTGCTCCCCGCACTCATAACAATTTTGCTTTCTTTCTCTAGACTTTGATCTTGCGGTTGATTTTTTCCTTTTAAATTCCTTTTGTTTTGTTTTTCCTCTAATCACAAGACCCTCGCCCTCAATTCTGTTGTCTCTTTTTCAACTCTTTAGATTTTAGTGCATTACTAACATATTCTAGTGAAATATTATCTTTCCCATATAGCAATGTATCAGTAAAAGTATCATAAAACTGTGGTAAAGAACATAACACAATAAAGGACTGATCCTCACTCTCAATTTTGATATCCACATTCTTCAGGTCCATTATAATTGAATTAAACTCATCAAGGTGAGTTTTAACATGTGTACCTTCATTAATACGGAGATTGTATAACCTCTTTTTTAGGTAGAGGCAGTTTGTCAGCGATTTCTTAGAATACAAATCTTCTAGCTTCTTCCATGTCGTTGCTGCAAAAGTTTCTTCAGCAATTTCTCGACGAACGCTATCTGTAACGCTCATGAAGATCGCACTCAAAGCCCTCTCCTTTAGGTCTTCCTTCTTTGTCTCTTTTATATCTTCAGGAAAATCCTCATCAATTGCTTTCCATAATCCTTGTAACACCAGGGACGATTTCATCCTAATCTTCCATAGACTGAAACTAGAACCTCCATCAAATTTCTCTACTTCGTACTTTGTTGAAGATGATGAAGACATCTTAACCCTAAATTATGTGTAGAAACCCGAACCTTGCTCTGATACCAATTGTTACGGAATTTCGTGGGTTAACTAGCACACAATCTCACACAAAGCAAATAGAGAAGAAAAATCAACACAAGGATTTAACGAGATTCGGCTAAGCCTAATCCTCGGGGCAAAAGAAGAGAGAGCTTTCCACTATGAATGAGAAGAAAAACACAATACAATCTATAGAATCCCCAACTACAACCCCTATATATAGATCCCAAAAGGTCCCAAACATATATGAGAAAGGTTTCCCAATTTGACAAGGACTATAGGTTTACCTTTCCCAAATCTATTAGGACAATGGGTTTTCCTAAACCTATAGGGATTATGGGTTTCCTAAAAATACAAAGAAATAATTCAAGCCACAAATAATAATTTAACAACAAAGGTTTCATGGTATCCAGAAGAAAGGAAAGGGAATTCTCTTTAATTGATCAAATTTATAGCAGGATGTTAAAGTTTTTCCAGCCAAGCAGTAAAATAATTATTGTTTCAATCGATTCTAACATTGTAAATTTTTATTAAGTAATATTCGCTTTGTTGGCAAAAATATACCAAAATAATAGTAGCTAAAGCAGGATCCAAATTGCAGAGCTATCTACATAATACATGCATTTCAAACCTTGTGCTACTGCCGCTCGGGATACCTCTGTTAGTAAACCAAAATTATTTCTTAAGCAAAGGAAAATCAATCTTGATGACTATCTAAAATGAAGACAGAAAGAAAGCTTTCAACTCAAAAACACCACTTGATAAGCTAATGAAACTTCTTGCAATGTCAGGCAGAGATTTCCTATTCGTGCGTCAAAATGCCCTAACTCAAAATGTAACCAAAGAATGAAACCAGATAAAACAAAAGACAGGACCATGCATAAGAAATCTAATTGAAAACCTGGTTGAAGAATTTTGTCAAACACCTAGAGAACAAAATTTATTAACATGTTTCACTTTATCTGCAGGAATCCCCTTGCTATTCAGGGGAAAACACAAATACCTAGCATATTATCAGCGATTGAAACAAATCAATGCAAGAAACACAAGTTGAGAAGAAGATTACCCAGTAGGAAATATCAATAGACAGAGGGGAGGAGTGAGAGAGAGCAGAGATATTAAGCGAAGAGCCGTTTGAAGAAGGGGACTTTGCAGATGGAGCTTCTCACCAGTGTCGGATGTAGTTAGAGAAATCAAGCGGTGAGTTGATAGTTGGGCTACACGTGTTAGGCTACAAATTGGGATAAATTCAAAAATAGTCGGATTTACAAGTGGTCATTCAAAAAAAGCCACAATTTCAAAAGTAATCGAAATTGGGTCAGACAGACATGCTGACCATGAGCTACCTGATTATCCCCGTTTATAGTATAGGAATAGAAATAGATATGATGGGCTATGATTTGGTAACGTTTATAAGACTCTCACTTATATACAACAAAAAATAATAATCGGTCACCTCCTAAAAGAATAGGTGAAATCTTTTTATACCACCTTTTTTGCAAACAACATCTATAACACTCATCTTGCACAATTTCTAGGGAAATTACCAGCTATGTCCATTTATAAGTAGCTCATTACAAAAATTGGCCAATTGATAAAATATTACTAATATTAGCCAAATTAGCCAATTAGCTATTTGTAGCAAAAAAAAATCAACTTTTTGCTTTGTTTTGAGTGGGGTATTATTAGAATAGATTTGACACAACTTAAGGAGCTTGAATCTCAGTTTTGGAATGATTTGGTGAAGTTTTGAGGCGGTTTGAATTGAAAATTCGAAGTAAATGCTGAACATGAAAAAAAATGATGTGTGTATCATTTGTGTATTACATATGTATCATATTTGTATCAATTGTGTATCACATGTATATCCATGTATGCCTGTGTGTGAAATACATGCGTGATACATGTGTCGTAGAAGACTTTTTTGAACTTGATTTAATTACGAATTTTGATACAAAACCAGTCCAAATCGCCTCCAATCTTCCTCAAATTTTGTATATTGACTTATCTATATATTTTCAATGAATTTCAACTATATCCATTGAAAAAGTTCCTTTTTTGTTTAGATTTTTGGAATATTGTATAGATTTTTGTATTTTATCACCTTATTTGCTACCCCGTCCATGAAATTTCCTTTCCGTCTTGTATCTAATGTTGCTAATCACGCTTAAAATATGAAAGGTGATTTTTGCATGTGATTCTTTGATAAAAAGAACCCTATTTTTTGGTTTTTCAATTTTTGTTGGCTAGTTTTGATAAGTCTATGACTAATAGCTAGAGGTTGGTAAGTTAGATTTATTTGAGACATTTGTGTAAGTTTTCCTAATTTCTAACCCCGAGAAACCGATATCCTTGAGTTCGGGGAAGGAAAGAATAAAAATTTAGCTAAAATAAATATTTTATCTTGAGTTGAGATCTCTATTACCAGGAATAACTTTTCTATGACGTCTGAATTTCCTTTCTCTCCCACGCTTCNATATATTACTCAATGCATATATATTTGAATATTTAATTTAATTTAGTTTAATTTAAAGCTAGCATTCTCTTATGAATAAATTAAAATCAAACAAACATATTTTTTCGACCAACTCTATTTCTATTCTTCTAGTCATTTGTGTATGGGTCAAAATCTGAAGACAAGAATCGGCGTGGGAAGGGACGACGAAAGGTTACCTGGGACTGTTATATCCATACCACTGTAACGATATGCACCTCGGCCACGGTCGAGATCGCGTATTTAGGACATCTGGGCCGAATTGAATATCGTGGTATTTCAAGGGGTCGGCCCATAATACAGTCGAGTGACCTAGATACTATGGGTAAAGACCGTTGGTTAAAGAGGGGGGGGGGGGGACAAAAATACAGATATTCCCCAAAAAGAAGAGGGATCACCATCTCTCCCTATGGAGGAGAAAGAAGCAAGGAAGCTCGGAACTTCAACATAAATTGTTGGTTCATCACACCCAATGTATAGGGTTCTACCTTATTAAAGATTGGTGACCTTTTCCACTCATATATTCTTCATTGATTGTTAAGCATTACGGAAACCACCATCGTCTTCTTATACGATGTGATTTAATAAATATTACATTTAAATCTTATGGGTGCTATGCTTGCTTATTCTCATCTTCTATCCTAGATCTGGAATAAATTATCGTTGGCTAAGATTTACCTAAAGTCTTCTTATTTATTTAGTTTAGCAAAAAAACTCAATACTTTTTGGTCAAACAATTTGTGATATTTTTTATATCCTTCAGCCATACTAATATCAATTGTATTATCAAGATTGATTTCTCTTTTCTACAATATTTTAAGCCTCACTATTCCTGTTTGAATGTATATGTCATACAAAAAATTTCAATTTCATCATATACACCTATAAGTAATATTTATTTATACATCAATAAGTGTTAGAATCCAAATAATATCATTGGTGGATATAAAAAAAATGAATTGCATAATGATCCATCTTTTATCTACCTATTGAAAATTAGGTAATCAAAGTAAGATAAAATTAAGGGGAAAGTTCCATATATTCTATGTACTATTCAAAAGTATTCAATTTCTTCTTCTTCAATAAACTTTAGAGCTTTATACCTTCGTCTGGTTACGATGGTCCTTTCTTCACATTAGTTTAACACGGTAAGGTGATCTCCTTTTTCATTCCATTTAACTAAATGAGACTTATTTAAATAAATAAGACTAAAATTCAAGAGCTTTAAATGACCAATGTGGATCACAAATTTAAAATTGTTCATATTTTTTGCTGTCGAGCATAATACATAAAATATTAATATGTTATATTTCGCTGAAGAGATCAGATTTATGATAATATGTCACTAATCGGTAAACAATATTTATGTAAACTTTAATTTTTATCATGATCACAAGAATATTTTAAATATTAATTTAAGCTTATTTTATATCTTTCAACCTTGAAAATAATTATCCATAATATTTTATGCATGGTTACAAATTAAATATTAATTAATCAATTTTATTTGGCAGAAGGAAAACGAAATTAATTTATAACCATATGTTATTTTCAGTCATCACATGCCTGCAAATTAGGATATTTCAAAATCATAACATAATAAATATCTACCATAACACTTGTACAAAATAAATTTCATAATAACAAATGGTAAATTATAAATTAGAAGTTCATCGAGAAACCTGTATTTATATTCGTCAAACTGCTCCGATCTCTCCAAGCAACGACCAAAAAGAACATCATTTGGGCCCGAAAAATCATGTCAGTTGAAGACATCCGCTCTGTCACATTATTCATGTCTTCAATCTATCACATCATTCAATAAACAGTTGAATATATGTAATTTTGCAAAATTAATACTTCAGATAGCCACATTAGAGATGATAGAAACTGAGCGAGGTGATCGACTTGCTGTAAAAGTTGAAATGGTTTGTTAACAAACAACGTCAGAATTATAAGATATACCTTGCAAGAATTCATGAAACTCTATTGGTGGAACTCCTATTATCATTTTATACTCCTAGGTCATATGCAGAGAGCAATCTGAAGAATATTTTTGTAAGCCTTTAGATTCAGGCTCTTACTCTTGTGTTGTCTCTCTCTCTGCTTCTTGCACTTATTTCTCGTTGTGAGAATTTGGAGGAAATCCAAGAGCATCACACAGAGGCGAATTTAGAATTTCTAGAGGATGGATGCACCGTTATCGAAGATAGGAGAGAGACGAGTAGTGACGGATGCACTTTTTTGACATCGGATTCATCTGAACCCAATAATTTCGACGCATAGCACAAAGTTATATGTAAACTTTACTAAACTTTCAATAACTTAGTCTGAACAAAAATTTTTAAAATATAATGATTTCAATACTAACATTATTAAAGACGAAAATGGTTAAGTCATGATTTCGCACTGGAAATAAGTCATGAAAATCACGTGTGTGACTTGTAATTTTGGGGATAGAAGCTAAGGTTTGAATACCGCTAAGATGGAGTTGGAAGAGAGAGGAAACACAATTTTTTTTAAAAATCAGAAGAATTAACTTTATACGCGAAAGTGTAAAAATATTTATTATCAAGTTATTTAAATATTATTTATAGATAATTCATTAGTAACATTGAAAAGATCTCAAGTGAACTTGTGATAAAAGAATGAATTAAAAGATTTTTTTAAAAAAGAATAATAGAATAGGAAAAATGTTATGATAAATATCACATTATGGTGGGTGTCTACTCTTCTTCCATGATCTTCATCTCAAATGCTTAATGACATATTCAATGACATATTTTGTATGTTCAATGACATATTCCATGACATACTTTCTTCACTTTTTATGCCTATATAAAGGCCTTGTAATAGATAGGAAAATACACACAATTGAAGAAGAAATAAGAATCTCTCTTCCTCTCTTTCTATCTATATCTCTTAGTTTGTTTTGCTTGTTCTATATTGTTATTTTGGATTATATTTCATAACACGTTATCAGCACAAGGCTCTACCATCTCAAGAAGATCTTTGAGAAAATTAAGGTATAATTTT